ATTTGAAAGATTATATGGTTTATGTTCTATTTCACCTTTAAAAAAACTATTTGACCATAATGAAAACATAATTGGAGCAATATTTTCGAAAAAAAGATGCATTATATCAGTTGGATATGAAAAAGGAAATGTTAATGTCTCTATTTCAAATAAAATACTTAGTCCTTTGATTCCTAAATAAAAAAAATAATTATTAATTATTAAATTAAAATAATAAATAAAAAATAATAATAATTAATTAAATTTAAATACCAGAATTTTTTATTTCATTTTTTTTTTCATTGATATTATTAATTGATTCAATTTGCAAAGCCTTTTGATATGTTTCATTATGAGTTCTTAATTGTGGCAAATTAATTTTATTAGACATAGGAGGAATTGGAAGTGGATAATAAACATGTCTTGCTGATGAATTCCCTTCTATTTGACAAAATCTACATCCTTTTATAGCATTATGACCAGAAAGATTAAGAGTTTTACTAAGAGCAGGAATATCTCCTGACCAAGATAGAAGATGTGCCTTAAGTATAAATGATTCTTCAGTTAAACTATCAACACAAGAAATTCCATCTAAATAATAATTACAATATATTAATAATATATAACTATTAATAATTATCAAACAAATATACAGAAACTATAATATAATTAAAATTCTTTTATTTAAAAATAAATATTATATCAGGAAATTTTAATGTGCAATAAGCAATGACTTGTTCTTGGTTACAAATTGATATGTGTTTATTCTAGTAGCATAGATATTCATGTTTAAAGTCAAACATCTGTAAAAAATTTATAGCAGAAATTTTTATGAATGTTTGATTTTAAAAGTGAATATCTTCATGAATATCGATGCTACTGGAATGAGACACGTATAATTTTGTAGCCAAGAATAAGACCTTTCTTTCTATCTTAGAAATATTTTAGTAAAAAATCTCTTTACGTTTCACAAATCACGAGCAAAGTCAAAAAATATAAAAACTTCTCCATTGGCCATCATAAATTTTCCATTATCTATCACCTATTAAAATTTACTGATGTAGATATTTTAATAAATATTAATTTTTCTTGTTAACTTACTTGATAATTCTTTT